GCAATTCAGCTTCAGAAGAATGCATCCCTTTAAAAAGGCAGCACAGTGAGTGATGAGGCTCACTGTCATAAGAATTTTATGCAAAAAAAAAAAAATTATGATCCAATATTATTGTGCTCTACTCCTTTTATTTTGCATTGTGCTGTTTATTATAGTTTGGTTATTTTACTGTTTGTCTATAACCAGTAGAACCATGCTGGAAAAAAAAAAAAACAAGTAAGGACATTTCTTTTTCAGTCATGTATTCTGCTTTTATAATACAATTAATGGCATTTCAGTACACTAGCAGAAGAAATGATAACTAAATTAATACAAACAATGATCTCTTCTGTATCCATGGCTTATTGTTCTGCGCTATTATTTCTCTGTATTGCTGCATATCTGCCATATTTGCATCATAATAGTGAAAAGTCTCTTTGGCTGTGCAACTCTGAACTATGAGCTGAGTTTCATCAATGACAAACCTCTCAGGTTGAAAGTACTTTTTATATTCATATCTAATGGTTCTGTGATCAAGCAGTGAGAATAGATAGGTATGGAAATACTGTCTTTTGTTGTCCCACTGCCTCCCATTTGGGGATGTCTAATAACCCATGTTCCAAAATATCAGCTGAAACAAGAGAGTCAGTAGACTGAATGTGTACTGCTCTGGGTATTAAGAACATCTGGGAGAAGGGATGCATAGTAAAGCTTTCTCCTGGTAGCAAATTATTGAAATGCCACACGATGAAACAGGCAAGATAAACCTATTGCTGCATATAATAATGCTCCATCTGCCAACTCTGACAGCATTTGTTATCTGCACTTTTTCCTTGCACAAGGGTTTCCCAGCAGCTTTGATGATGTTTTTATTATTCTTTCCTAAATGCATTTTTCATAAGTAGTTATTAATAGCTGTATTTTTATCAAGAAAAACAGGAATTTCACAGTCAGTTTACATAAACTTAGTAAGCATATTTACATACATGTGTCTCAGGGAATCAGCATGTCAAACTGTATTTACAGAAGAGATATTAATTCTGTCTCTTTTCTAAATGGTAGACTTTCACTTAAAAGATCTACTCTTCTTTGCAAACATGCAAGCTGAAATCTAATTTACACAAATTTGCATAGTCAGACTTATCACTATCTTCATACAACTACATATGCATGCTGAAAACAGTGCAAATGCATTACACTCCTTATTAATTACTGTTCAAAGTATTCCCTCAGATCCACTCAAGTTCCAAAACACTTCAAAGATGGAGATTTCACAACCTTCTGGAGTGACCTTTTCCAGTATTGGACCAGCCTCATGGACTGGCTTCATGTTTTCTGTATCCCGTGGTCAGATGCAGAACTGGCTTTAACCTCTCCTTCCATGTCATGGAGATACATACTGGATTGCTAGACTTTGCACTAGTTTTTGTTGAACTTCATGAGGTTCATGTCATTCTATTTCTTCAACTTGCCCTGATTCCTTTGAAGAGCCCTCCAGTATGCTAACTTGTGCTCTTTTCATTTGATGTCATCTCCAAATGTACTTTGGATGACTATCCTCCATTCCATCATCCATGTGTGTAATGAAAACTTGAATTGGTATTGGTTCCAGTACTGACTTCTGAGGGATTCTCCTTGTTACTACTAGCTGGACTTTGTACCACAGATGACAACAGTAATCAAGCCCAACAGTCAAATCAGTTTTCCAACTTACCCAATCAATTTGGTGATAAAATGACTTTAACAGATTACTAAAAATCACAGGACAAAATATCCACTGATCTTTCCAAATTCACAGAGCCAGCCAGCCTACCAGGCGAGTCAGAAATGATTTCCCCCCTTAAGTCTGTGTTGACTGTCTTATGTCACCTTATTGTCTGTTATGTGTGTAGGAACATCTTGTGAGAGGATTTGCTCAATAATATTTCAAAGTGCTGAAGTTAGTCTGACAGTATTCACTTGGGTTCACCTTCTCTATTTAATATGTTTAATAAGGTTGATATTCGTAATATTTTTATGCATTTTTCTTTCACTTTTGAAAAGTATTAAGATTCTGTGTATAACACTGTTATAAAGGTATATTCTTTAAAGGAGGTAAGTTAGTCCTAGGGAAAAATGTATTTCCGTCTCTCAAAAACTTTCCTTCAGGAACTATTTCTGCCTACACTACGATGGTTTCATTTGCTCCATGGAAATCTCTTAATGAAGTTGAATGTAGTCTACAAATTCAGATATATAGTCTACAGATTCAGATAGACACCTGTATAAAATATATTCTAGATAAAAAATATTATAGATAAGCACCTATACAAAAAATAGCAGTGAACATATTCATTTGAGATAATTATTTTTGCTTCAAAAGGATGTTGTGCTACCAAATATAGACTACTAAACATGCAACATCATGCAACAGATGGCAGCAGAGGGGCAGTGTGGCAAGGAAGTGAGCCTGAAGCAAGGGTGTGTCACTGAATTTCTCCATGTCGAATAAATGGTACCCACTGACATTCATCAATGCTTGATGAACATTCATGGAGACCAAACAGTGGCTGTGAGTACAGAGAGGCAGCAGGTGATGTGTGACAACAGTATTACTTTTGGAGTGACCAAAATATTTAATTGACAAGTTGGTAAGAAGTTTGCATTCTGGAAACACATTAGAAATGTTTTCCCAGCAATTTTAGTTTATTTCATAGTTGCAGAAAGTATTGGCATTTAGTGCATGAGGTATTTTGCTAATTACAGTCCCTTTTGTCCTCATCACACAATATGATTAATAAACAATTAAATTTGAGGAAAGTCCAGTATAAATAACAATCTGCACAAAAGAGTAATATGGCCACTGCAGAGGTTTGATCTATGCTGATGTAAAGGTTCAGATGGACATAATACTTTAAAAATAAGAGCTGTAATTCTCCCCCTCCTAAAAAATGCAAATATTTCAGAACTTTTCTGAGAATTTATGAAGGATACTATGTACCATTCTGTTATTTATATTCTGTGCTACATGGAGTTGGATAAATTATCCATTACATATATTGTTTTGTTCTAGTTATCAGATTAGTGAAACCTGAATTACGGTTTGATGAAATGGAGAATTTCTGAGGAAAAAAAAAAAAAAAAAAAAAAAAAAAAAGCTATAATTGATTGAAAGTTTCTAAACAGGCATTGTGCTTTTAGAATGTCTTCTTCCTTCATTATTCATTTCAGTCAGACTTGAATTCTGATTCCCATATGCACTTTTTATTTATTATTTCTTCTCTCTAATATGATTGAACATTTTAATAAGATAATGACTAATTGCAGATGGGAAATAATGACTAAACTAACTAACACATCATTGTTTAAAAAAAACAAGATCTCATAGAGATATATCACAAAACATGAAAGTTGGAGCATTGCAAGTCTTTCTTCTGCTATCATAGCTGTGTTAACACTCATACCTCTCAATGAATTTACCATATTAAGCATCAGAGTTGGGGATGTTGAAAGCCAGTAACTTTTCTCTTGAAAATAAAATTAAAACATCCCGAGTGTCTTTGCATGACTTTCTATGCTTTTACACAGGAGTTTGTTTAATATCTAATGCTCCTATGGAATGTCTTCATTGGTACCACACCAGTTGGTAGGGGCATAAAACATTGCTTTGCTTATATTGCAAAGTTTCACAGGCAGCTTAGAGCTTCAGGATAACTTATTTTCTACATCAGTCTTTAGCTTTTTAGTTTTCCAGTGTATCACATCTTTAAAATAAAATTGCCTTCTTTTTTATGAACAAGCAGTCATAATTTTGGAAGGATCAAATTTGGAACACTATGGTTTGTGTATTGATGTGAACATCTGATTTCACAATAAAATTTGTCTTAAACAGCAGTCAACGTTTAAGCAGATTTTAACCTTCTAAGAAACTATAAAATATACTTAATACATCAATAAGACACAGTAAGAGTGAAGAAGTAGAGAATACTTAATTCCCAGTCTTTCCATGAAAAAATCAGTGGAGTCTTAGAGAACACTTTAGCTGTCAATTTTCTGAAGACAAGTAGTTCATGTTTAAAGGTAATTGAGAAATACACAGAGATTCTCACTGTTTGCATATTCTGTATGATTAATATAGAATATTGAAGAGACTGAAATGTATTTTCATTTCTGCAACAAACTTGGCATGTGTAGAATGTTTTTCACTTGAGAGGTTTCATCTAACATTCTTTCTCATCCAAACAATATAGTAACTTACCTCATAATTTACTTATTTGTTGACTACTGTGCTTCTTTTCATATTAGCCTTGGTTTCTCAAGAGTAGCACAGCCATTTCAGTGTATCATATAAGCACTCTTGAACACAAGAAAAGTAAATAGTGTGGGATTAAAGGAACGAAGCAGATATTATATAACTGAATGTTATTGATGGTGATTTTAAAAAAGTTTCACAAAATCTCATCTGAATGTTAACTTTGATTTTGTATTAAGCAACGTGTTACATCCAGATGTAGCTTATATTTTAACCCATATTCATTCAACTTCATATGCTAAAAAATCTAAGGCTTCTTCAGTGATTACCTTTAGAAGGAACACTGAAGTCTGATTCAGTCTGAGTAAAAAAAAAAAAAAAGTGAGTTAATATTTTTTGGAAGAGTGTATTATGGTATAAGGAAGAAAAGCTACATTGAAATCTGTGGAGCATTAGTAGACAGAAAATCAGAGATATGTTTGCAAGATAATGCAGCTCCATTGAAATCTATGCAATCTGGGAAACTGCGTTCCTAATCATTATAGACCAGAAAAAAAGATGGTCATTCGGTTTATGGCATCAATCGGACTGTAGTTGGAATAATATATGTAGATATGACTCCTCAGTATTATGAAGGCAGTACTAAATTATGTTACTAAACAGATACTCTACTTTCAATGCATGCTTGGTATTTCATTCATGTGTACCTGCACTACTGCTTTCATTTTGTATTCCTACAAAAGCATGGCCTATGTAATCTTATTGCTGAAAGTCCATTCATCATTTTTCCGTACTTGCCTGGGTTGGGAGACACCACAATAAGGCAGTTGGTTTTACCAGTGTGAGGCTTATCTCCTGAACTCCAGATGTGCTGACACTTTCGATTTCCCCAAAGGTATGAAACGCCACAACATACTTTGTCGTAGTAGGAGACTATACTTATGCTCTCACCTTGAAATTTTGTTTAAAGTTCTAAAGGATAAAGAAGTCCAGGAAAGTTGAAGGTTCTTCAAGAATGAAGTTTTGAAAGGCACAGTATCGTACCATCCCTATGTGTCAAATGACAGGTAAGTGAGAAAGGAAATCATCCTGACTGAACAGAAAGCTTCTTCTGGATCTCAGGATGAAAAAGAATTTATGTGGCCAAACAGTCCAATCTTCAAATCCATATCTCTCCCATTTAGAGATAAAAATGTGGTGCAGGATCGTCCTTCCTTTGTCCACCAATGCCTCTATCAATGAAGGCCACCAGAGGCATGATCTGGCTTAGTGAAGCTATGCTGGCTGTCTTGGATGACTTCCTTATCTTGCATGTGCATTAACATAGCCTCCAGAGGGAGGCGCAAGCAAGAGAAAGCTCTCTGAAAACATTAATTTGATGCTTCATAGTACCTTTTTTTTTTTTTTTGTAAAAATCAAGTGAGAAAAGAGAACATGAAGAACACCTTTTCTGTCTTGTTCTGTTAACTCCAACATACAGATTCAGAGTTTTTTCTTAAAAACAAACAGAAAACTAATCAAACAAAACAAAACCAACCAAAAGAACAAAAACCAAAAAAAACCCACCTGTTTTATACTTGCTATTCATGGAATAGAATTCACAGAATTGCTGGGGTTGGAAGGGACCTCAAGAGGTCGTCGACTCCAACCCCCCCTGCCAAAGCAGGTTCCCTACAATATCTCTCAGGTATGTTTCTAGAGGAGTCTTGAATATCTCCACAGAAGGAAACTCCACTACTTCTCTGGGCAACCTGTTCCAGTGCTCTGACACCCTTACCATAAAGTTCTTCCACGTGTGAGTAAGGAACTTTCTCTTTTCGAGTTTAAGGCCATTATTCCTTGTCCTATCGCTATGCACCACCAAGAAGAGCCTGTCCTCATGGAAAGATACATCAATCATTTCAGTGTTATTCTAGACTGTGGTAAAAGTAGTTTTGAGGCTCCAAGACCCAGGGTTTGTAGATCCAGACATTATGGTAATGTGTAAGCAGTAGAACTCCACTTTTTAGAAGCCAGTTGAATCTCAGTCAATACTATCCTGTCTCAGAACTGCCCTTCTGCTGTTCCTAGAGATTGCTTCTCTCACATAGACTCACTTTATGCTTTTCAGTTGTGAAAGGCAGTTTGCCCCATTCATGGAAAAGAAATCTGGCATCCAGAACTTGAAGATCTCATTGTTTATGTTAAAGCTTTTAGTAAAATCACCTGTACAGCATCTGGTACCTTAATTCTACTCAGTTTTTAAATGAGACAACTATTCCTGACCTCCCATGGGGGGAAAAATTTATCCATCAGAATATGTATTTGTCACTGTTATCCAGCTGTACAATTTTCATATTACTTCCATATCTATTTTATGCAGAAGTTCATGTATTAGAACTCTACTCAGAATTTTCAGACATATTTTGGATGAGTAAACATATTATCAAGTTTTTTTCAGAAGTATCATAACAATTTCCTTTTGAAATATAGAAACAGCATTGAATTAAGAAGGAATTATATAATTAAAATGTCATTAATGACTTATATTTTAGAAAAAAAGGATCAGTCTTTGTTTTTAAAAACATATCATTACATTTCTCTTGTAACTGGTTTTCCCAGGTGTAACTGGATAACTAGACAGATATGCTGCATATAGAGAAAAATGAATTTAGTAGGCAAATTCCTTGAACAGGAATTATTTTATTAAAAGATACAAGCTGAAAATAAATACATTTTATGACAAAGTTATCACCAATGGCATACTACTGCAACGAATTCTCTGACTTCTTTTTAGTCTAGCATCATACTTTACTGCCTGAGTCTTCTGTTTCATATGTATAGTACTTTAGTGTCATTCAGTAAAAGAAAAGTTGGTCATTATTTGTTAGTACTCACTCTTTTTGACTTTTTAATTACACCCAAATTGGCTTATGTTAGGACAATGTGTAAATTGAAGCTCAGAGACCTATGGCTTATAAGGAGTGAAATCGGGGTCTACTGTCCTGCGGACAAAAGATTATACTCCTCTAAAAAAATTATTACTACTAAGTCATACAGAGATAAGACAAAACTGCTCAAGTCAGCTCAAGAAGAGGTACCAGTATAGGCTCATCTCCAATAGCATAACAGCACTAAATCTGTTCTAGGATTTTATCAAAGCTCTTTTACCTGATGAAAGTATTATCTTCTTGTAATTTTGTTCATTAGACATCACTATTATCTCAAGTTCCAGCTATATCATAGTTTCCAGTGTCATTCCTTTTAGATTTTCTTATTGAAACATATCTTTTGTATATATGAGGATATGTTTTATCTTCAGAATTTGTTTTAATATGTTTTTGTTGTTGTTTTTTATTATTTTCCAATTACTGGCTGAAGAACAGCTATGGTGAAACAGAGTTGTACTTAAGATAAATTCACTGAGCACCACAGAGAAGTCTCTTTGCAGGAGGTATCACACCAGGGTAGTGCCAGAACTTCCAGATATATTCAACCATTCTGCAGACTTTTACTGATAGAGCGCTGTGAATATCATTAGCACCAATTGTTCTCCTCTGTCCCTTGCCTCATGTTCCAAGACATTGCCTTCTTTAAAGTCTTGCAAAAGTCTATCCCAGAAGGATGGATGACCCAAAACCTGGTTTCAGAAACAGTTGCTATATGAATTTTGGTCAAACTGTGGGATCATACAGAGACGTCAAGGAGAGAGATTTGTTGACTCAAAATACTTTGACCACTCACTGAATGTGAAGTATTAGCCTCACTGGTAAATGCCAGTGTTAGAGTTGCTCAAATTTATAAATGGATGCTACTTTTAGGAGTTAAAGCTAACAAAATATCGTGCCATCTACTGAGTGCAAATAAAAAGGAGAATTTTTTTTGTATGCACAGCTAGTTGGAATATCCTGATCTTGGCATTATTGCAACAATGGTAAGAGAAGTGGTAGAAAAAAAATTCATTCCATTGTACAAACCTGAATGGAGAAGCGAGTTAAGAGCAAAAATCAGAAAGTTTTAAACATTTTTGGTATTTCAGATGTATCATCTCACACCCACAGCTCAATAAGCAAGTTTTCTGTCTTGAGGTAGCCAGAGAGTAATAAATCTCCTCATAAAATTTATAAAGCTGCTAGTTCCTAGACAGTGGGATTTTAGCAAACCAGTTGTCCTCTCAGCTAGCAGTCCTGTACAAAGCATCTTTTGATAAATACCTGTATTGCCTGTTTTCTCGCTTCCAGATTTTCAAAGAAATAAAGCAGAAGAGATTCCCACCCCTAGAAGTGCAATTCTGTTCAGACACACAAATGAGTGAGGTCTTCACAACTGAGGGCTCTTTGCACTTTAATGTCAGTTTATAACAGTGACTACTACAAATGTAGGTAGCTCCAAGAGTAGGTCTGCTATTTATTTCCATGGAAACTATAACAAATACAGAGAGCACAAAAACAATATTTAATAGAACACATTCTCAGATTAAAAAAAACTGTTTTTCAACAATGTCGCTACCACTGACTAAAAATTTTTACCATATATACAGTAGTTTGGATGTCATGCTCATAAAAATATGCATGGCCAATCAAAAAGTGGCTTGATTTTTACATCATTTTCACCAGTGCTGAAATCTTATCACCTCAATGTGCTCACTCTCCACACTTTGGTCTCTATAAGCATAAGCATTCAACAAGCATCGATGAATATCAATGAGTGCAATTGTTTTCCTTATGGAGGAATTCAGTGATAAAATGTTATTTCATTCACTCTTCCATATCAGATGCCATTTTTTCAGAGTGTCTCTCTGCTGCTGTCGCATGACAGCAAAACGTAACAGAACATTGGTGGGAAGTTTTCATCTCTACCGCCATACCACCAACATAGAATCATAGAATCATAGAATTCCAGAATAGTTTGGGTTGGAAGGGAAATTTAAGGTCATCTAGTCCCAACCCCCTGCTATAGGCAGGGACACCTCCCTCTAGACCATGTTTCTCAAAATCCTGGCCTTGAATGCCTCCAGGAAGGTGACATTTGCAGTGCCACTGGGTAACATGTTCCAGTGTCTCATTGCCCTCACAGCAAAGAATTTCTTCCTAAAATCTAGTCTAAATCTACCCTCTTCCAGTTTAAAACCATTTCCCATGTCACTACATGCCCTTCTAAAAAGTCCATCCCAGCTTTCCTGTAGGTCCCCTTCAGATACTGGAAGGCCGCAGTAAGGTCTCCTCGGAGCCTTCCTTTCTCTAGGCTGACGAGCTTCAACAACAACATCTGCCTTTGATGTTATTGAGCAACAGAGTAAAGCAGGAGGCATTATTTTCAGAGCACTCCCTGTCACACATTACTGATGTAAATATGGCAGCATGGTTAAAACAACTAAGATTTCTTAGCAGCTGGCATGTATTTTTATTTTTCATCTTTGAATACTTCCTATTAAAAATGAATGCTGTCATTGAATATACTTTGGGATTATTCCCATTCATTAATAAGTGTTGAAATTAATGCACTGCCTAATAACTTTAAAGTTCAATAATGCTTCAAGTTTGTGAGATCGATAAGAGTGATTTTTTTGTGAGAGCTACTTTTCTTTAGTTGCATTGAAAAAGTTGTTTATGACTTTTTGAAAATGAGGGCTCACTTGCTACACTTCTGCCTAGTGACTTTGAAAAAAATAGCTTTCTCTCCTTTCTTCAAAACCCTTTGTGACTGTTTTATGAGCTGCAGAGATTCATGCGGAACTGGAGTCTGGATTATGTTTTTTTAAAACACAACATCTAAGGGTGCTGGTAAATATCTAAAGCTTTTGAATATCTCACTAGACTCTAACTCAGGTGTTAGTGCTCGGATGTTTTTCTCTGTGCTTTTGAAATTTGCAGTCATCTGTAAACACCTGTATAGCCTCAGTACCTTAATCACAATGGGTTCTTTTCAGTCAGTTGTAAAGACAGGGCTTCCTAGATCATCCATGGCAAGGACCG